CGCGGACTTCAACGCCTGGTACACGGACGTGATCGCCGCCGCCGAGCTCGCGGACTACGGGCCCGTGCGGGGGACCATGGTCATCCGCCCCTACGGATACGCCATCTGGGAGGCCATCCAGGTCAGTGCTCATTCGCTCCTCCTCCCCCTGTGCCGTGCGCCATCCTGTGTTTAGCATTGTTGGTGCAAAGATGAAGGAAGAATGATTACAGGTGCTTCTGCGTGCGTAGTCGTAGATTTCGAAGCATCTTGTAGCTCGGCTCCTGTTGATGCCCCATTTGTGCCGTTTGGTAAGCTGAAGAATGGCCTAGTACTGTGTAGTGTATGCATCGTGTGGCAACTTAAGCACCCATTTAGCAGAATGCCCCCCCCCAAATAGTGTTTAGGTAATCGCCGCGAATAACGTGGGTTTTGTTTTGTGCTACTCTGGTGTGAGGTCTGTACCTTTCTGAAGTGGCATTCTTCCAATCATGCAGTGCAGCTGTGGATTATGGTCAATGGGAGCTTCATTATGCATAACATGACATTTGACTTACTATTTAGCTTTACATCTGAATGCTCCTCTTATTCTAGGATACTTCTCAGTGTTGCACTTCATCAATGTCTGAATATTTTTGTTGTCAATTTATTGTAGGATTATTTGAATGTCAAATTCAAGGAAACAGGGCACAGCAACATGTACTTCCCTCAGGTTCGCACATCATGATCCATCTGTTTTTCTATTCATTTTTCTGGATTAGTGCTCAATGCTAACAGTGCTGATTGATTAAATAAATAAGTTTGTTTCGTAGCTCTATGTTGCAATGTTAGATTGTGTTTGGTAGGAATACCATTTGTTAATGCGACAAAATGGCAGCTCTCATTGCTAACAAAGTCTGAAAAGGCATGTGCTTAGATGAAGTTTCAGAAAGTGTAATTTCATCTTTTGAGGGTATCACATAGACACATACTAAAACCTCTGCAGAATTACCATATTCTGGAAGTTCAGAGTGCTTGATGCTAGCTGCTATTAACATGCTTCTGGATGCAAAAAGACACATAATTTTGAAAGGAACAAAATGACAAATGGATGCTGAATATTGACATTTTGACGATGAAGTTCTGTTCTGTTGAGACGTGGTGGGAAATTCAGGATAGTATGAAAATACATGCTCCATATAATGTCACATTCTCCTATGCAAATGATCTCTGGGGGAGTGATATTTGCATTGTTTTGTATTCAAAGAAAGTGTGTACAGATGTCCTTGTTTGATTACATGGATCAATCTGTGGTCTTTATCTTCCTTTCGCTTTGTGTCATTGCCATACAATTTTCTAATTTCAGGTTATCTATTTTTGTCACTAAGCGATCGCCTCATGCTTTATCTGAGTTAGACTCCATAGTTTGCACTTGTTATCTGTAGTTTCTTATGCTTCTCCCTTCTACTGTATCAGTTCATTCCATACTCATTTATAGAGAAGGAAGCTAGTCATGTTGAAGGGTTTAGCCCGGAGCTTGCATTGGTCACCATTGGAGGAGGAAAAGAACTAGAGGAAAAGCTTGTGGTATTACTTTGCTCTAGTTTTATGGTTAAATTTGGTATAGTCCACATATTTTGTTGGAAAAATGATTATGTAGATTGCTTCTAAACCCGAACCTTTTGAACTTGTGTTCTTGAGGGCTTTGTAGGTAAGACCAACAAGTGAGACCATTGTAAACCACATGTTCACCAAATGGATTCAGAGCTATCGTGATCTTCCTCTCATGATTAACCAGGTAACTTCGGGGCAAATTTAGACTAGCTGTAGACCTGTAGTCCACTATTATCCACGATATTAAATAGTTCTTATTTTCCTAGTGGGCTAATGTCACAAGATGGGAAATGCGGACTAAACCATTCATCCGAACTCTTGAATTTTTATGGCAAGAAGGTCATACAGCCCATGCCACCCTTGAGGAGGCAGAGAAGGAGGTTAGTTTTCACATTTTGCTTCCATGTAGTTGCTTCTGTTGTTGAAATTTCAAAGCCATGCATGTAATGGCGCAGGAAAGCCAAGTCTTGAAAAGCAATGAAAGATTCTATTGCACTATCTCATCTTCTCCAATTGTTATTGCTCTGCAGGCGATGCAGATGATTAATGTATATACCAAGTTTGCCTATGAACATGCTGCAATACCAGTTATTCCAGGTAGAAAATCAAGAGTAGAAACATTTGCTGGTGCCAATCGGACTTACACTATAGAAGCTATGATGGGTGACAAGAAGGCCTTACAAGCTGGAACTAGTCACAACCTCGGCCAAAACTTTTCACGAGCTTTTGGAACACAGGTTGCTACCAACTGTCTTCATATCATGTTTACTTCATGTGTTGGATCCATTTTTATACATTTTAAAAATTCAGAAGAAATTGTTCACAAGGATTGGATTTGGTTTTTTAATTGTTTCTTGTTTTCCAGATATTGCTTTAGCAATTAACAAAGATTTTGATTTTTTTCTCAATGTCTGCAGTTTATGGATGAAAATGGTCAAATTGAACACGTCTGGCAGACCTCTTGGGCTATTAGTACTCGATTTGTTGGTGGGATTATCATGACCCACGGTGATGATGCCGGTCTAATGCTTCCGCCAAGGATTGCACCCATTCAGGTATCCCTCTCTCCCTCCCTCATTTACTTGCTTTTGCATTCACAACCTTCTATCTGATTAACCTAGTCTTCCCTCCTTTGTTTCTTGTGCTACTATCAATCTTCTGCAATGGAATAAATGGCCAACTAAAGTTTACGTTGTTCTTTTTTTTCAAATCCATAACCATGATGGGGCGATCCAAGAATGTTCCTATTTAATTCAGGTTATAATAGTACCTATATGGAAAAAGGGTGATGAGAAGGCTGCTGTTCTGGAAGCTGTAGATTCAGTTCAAAAAATACTCAAAGAAGCAGGAATCAGAGTTAAAGTGGATGACTCAGAGCTGCGGACTCCTGGATGGAAGTTCAACCATTATGAGATGAAAGTAATTGCTTCTACTCTTATAGTGGAGATCCAATTCTTTGTGTTATTCACCCATTTGCTCTTACCATATTTAGATTCGTATGCTTTCATCACTATGGAAATTCCTTCATATTTGATGATTTTGCCTATGTACATCAACTCTGCTTGAGACCATTACTCTATCTGCTAGCACATAAATGCCTCATTCTTTAACCAAAAATGCTGTATTGTGTGTTGCCTAACAGTCCAGAACAATTTCTAGAAGGTTCTGTTGCAGTATTGCCTTCATTCCAGTTGTGATGCCAACTATCGATAGGCATAATTGAACAAAATCAAAGATGTACTAGATGCAATAATTTACTTTATGCATGTAATCTTGTTTTGAACATAGATGTATCTGGGCTTTGTTATCGATCAATCAATCTGGATACAGATTATTTGCCTGTGTAACTTATTCTCTCATTGTAAACTTATTTCTCTCATTTCCTTGTATTGCTTTTGACAGGGGGTTCCTGTAAGAATAGAGATCGGTCCGCGTGATGTCACAAATAAGAGCGTTGTGGTTTCTAGGCGTGATGTCCCTGGAAAGCAAGGAAAGGAGTTTGGAGTGTCTATGGAGCCGTCGATATTGGTGAACCAGATAAAGGGTCGTCTAGATGACATACAAGCATCCCTTTTACAGAAGGCCATCACATTCCGTGATAGGTAATTGTTTTCCATTGAAGGATTACCTTGTGTTTTTTTTAGGGATATTACCTTGCCTTTTTGTCTACTTTTAGGGACAACTTTTTAATCTTCTCCTGCCTGTTGATTGATGAACCAACCTTATCTATGGGCATAAATGTTTCAATACCACCGCAGTTGTTCATTATATAAAAAGTTAATAGTATTTTGTTGGTTTACATAGTAGAAATGGTATTCTGAATATTAATAATATTTAGGAAGGCTTCATATCTTCTTTGAATTGCTGCCTTTCCAAGGATGTTTCCTTTTCTTTGTGTCACTACCTTAGCACACACCTGTTTTAAGCAATTTAGCCTGTTTCATACTTGCAGTAACATTGTCGACATAAGCTCATATGGAGAGCTGAAGGAAGCTATTTCTGAAGGAAAGTGGGCTAGAGGTCCTTGGTCAGCTAGGTAGGTTGACTTTGGTAAACTGTCTATCTTTGTTTTCATGTTTGTATAAGTAAACATCAGTAGTTTCTCTGTCACATGTAAATTTTACTGAACTGTGGTAAACTTCAGCGATGCTGATGAGCTGAAAGTGAAAGAAGAGACCAGCGCCACCATCAGATGCTACCCTTTCGAGCAGCCTGAGGGCACCAAGAAATGCTTCATGACTGGCAACCCGGCAGAGGAAGTCGCAATTTTCGCAAAGTCATACTAGGTCCACCGTGTCCATTTCCAGAGATTAAAACAGCCTTTTCTTTTCTTTTTTTTAGGATTGTACCCTGTGTCCCTTGTCTACCTATAAGGTCCAGACTGATCATGGTTCATGGATTAGCAGTGTAATGCTTGTGCTGCTGATATTTGAAATGTAAATTCGATAATCAATAGGTCAATTTTGTTCAAATCTAAGCATTGGAAGTTCATTTAGGCCTTGTTGGATGTATGTGTATCCACTTCAATCCACATGTGTTGGAGTGGAATGGAATGGAACTTTTAATTCCACTACAATTCATTTTAACATATGGATTGAGATAAATACATGCGCATCCAAACAAGGCCTTACATGTCTTTTGTCTACTTAGTATCAGCTGTTTCTAACAAGTTCCCCTGTATGCTAAATCATGTGTAAGTTACATTGAATTGCACATACTAAAGTTACTACTGAGAAAGGAGTAAAAACACCAATAATTCTTATACACTGAAAGGAACATTGTTTTATTGCGTTCTTGAATACTAGGAGTAGAAATTAGAAGAAAACGTTAACATATTGCTGCTACTGCATGTTAAACCATCAATTCATTGCAACAATCTTCAGTCGTGTGTGCCAAACTGATGCTCCATTGCCACTGATTGCCTGCTCCTACATGATCCGTTCAGACATGGAAGGCAGCCGCCGGAAGAAGTTGATCACTGGTGCCGGCATCCGATCCCGGAACATCGGGTGGCGCAGGTAGTAGAAGCCGGCGACCACGGCCACCATCTTCATGGGCACCATGTACAGCACCAAGGCCACGAGGACGCACAGCGCGACGAACAACCCGGTGGCGCGCGGGTCGCGCCACGACACGAGCGCCTGCAGCCTCTCTGCCTGCGTCGCGACGTCGCCGACCATCTGCTGCAGCCGCGCGCCCACCATCCTGGCGCGGTCGTACCGCGCCCGCACCACCTCGGGCGGCCTCGCGCTCGGGATCGTGTCGAACTCCTCGTCCAGCTCCTCCCTGTCGGGCGCCTCCGCCATGGACGCGCGCACGCACGGGTGCGGCGCCGGCGCGCGCGGCCTGCGCCGGTACTTCCACACGCCCACGGCGGCGGCGTGGAGCGTCAGCGTCGGCACGACGAGGTCCGGGTGCCACGCGAGGAGGATCAGCACGGCGTGCGCCATCGCGGTCGCCGTCGGGTTGCGCCACGACCGGGTGTCCTCCACCCAGCGCGCCGCGTCGGCGACCCAGGACAGCGCGGCCACGGCGCGGTTCCAGTTGGCGCGCAGCTTGCGCATGCTGAACCCGCGCGGCTCCGTGGCATCCAGCATCCACGTCGCCACCTCGCGCCGCAGAGGCGGCTCCGCCGATCGCGCCAGGTGCGCCGCGGAGATGCGCGCCGCCGCCAGCCGCAGCGCCTCGCGGTTCACCGCCGGGATGGGCCGCTGGTGGTGCATCGCCGGGAGCGCTGGTCGGCCGTACGTGTGCAGCACGTCCAGCATCGACCCGGACGTGGAGAAGCGGATGGCCAGCTCGACGTCGCCCATTCGCTTTGCGCCGGTGGGCAGCATCATGATGAGCGGGTACAGGCCACGGTACACGCGGCCGCGCTCCAGCGTGGACAGCCGTATCCTCACCTTACCCATCGGACGCGAGCACGCCGCGGCGGTGGCGTCCTTGCCGCCGCTGCCGTCTGACGGCTGCAACGGCGGTGGGTCGTCGAACACGCCGACGGTGAGCACGGTGCAGGGGTCGTACACCGGCCACGTGTACTGCTCGTTCCAGGCCGGGTCGTAGCTGTCGGCGATGGTGCGCGTGCGCGCCCACTTGGGTCCGTACTTGGCCACGGCGTACGCGTCGGTGCAGCCCTTTCCGTCGGCGGCGCGCATCGGCAGGAGGCCCTTGCATCCAACGATGCCTAGCTCCACGACGCCAAGGGGCGGGGGCCACAGCTGCCGCGCCGACGGCCGGAAGTCGCTGCACGCGTAGGACGGCTCGTCGGCGACGTTGTAGCCGCCGTCGAGGCACGCGCGCACGTGCAGCCGACCTCCGTGCATGTGCATGGCCGCCTTCTTGCCGACTCTCTTCGTGGCCTCGTCGGACGGGAGGAGGTCGAGCCACTTGGACGCCACCTTCCGGTCGTCAACGCGCCTCTCGACGGTGGCCAGCGATATGCTAGCCGAGCCGACGGGGAACGCCTCCTTGCCGTGGCGCACTTCGAGGGAGATGACGAGGCAGTCGTCGTCGGTGAACGGCTCGGCGGCGACGAAGAGAAGGTCCTCGTTCCACACAGGCCCTCCGTTGCGCGCCACCGGCATGGTGCGCGTCTTGAGCGCCTGGAAGCCCAGCGTGGCGCGCACCGCGATACCGGCATCGCGGGGAGGCGGTGCCGTGAGCGTGTCCTGCGCCTCGATGACGGTGAGGCGCAGGAGCCAGAGCTTAGGCGAGACGTAAACCTTGGCGCGCGAAGTGGCAGCGGCCGTGGCCGTGGCCGCCGCCGGTGAGTCCGCCTTCCACGCGTCGGCGAAGGCCTCGTCGGCCTGCGTACCCGCCCACGTGGCGACCATGAGGTCGGCGCCGGCGAAGCGGCGCCCGCCCTCGAGCCTGTACCACTGCGTCGCGAGAGGCCCGTCCGGCGGGTCCCGCGCGTGCACGTCGGCGGTGTCGAAGCAGAGGCCGCCAAGGAAGTGGCGATCGTCGGCGACGGACACGTCGGCGTCGGGCGGCAGGTCCCAGACGGAGACCTCGAGCGTGGGGCCCGGCGAGTCGGTGGCCGGATTGCGCACGAACGCGAAGGTCTGGTCCCACTCGAAGAAGGCGCCGCGGCGCGCCTCCCGCGTGGACGCGTGCTGCCCGCCGGCGGCCACGCGAACGTGGGGGTGCGAGCCGGCGGGCAGCCCGCGCGCGCGTACCACCCTGACGAACAGGTATGGCATCTTGTCCACCAGATCGTGCTTGCTCTGCACCATCGGCTCCTCCAGTTGGGGCGGCGGCGGCGCCAGCTGGCGTACAGGCATCGATACCTGCCGTGGCATCGGCGTCGGCGTCGGCGTCGGCGTCCGCTGCGGTGGCGGGCTCGACACAGGCTCCTCTTCCGGCGGCTTCTCCTCGGATGCAGCTGCCACCGCCTCTGCCGTCATTACGGGCGCGTCTTCCGGCGGCGCCGGTGCGGGATCAGCCTCCGGTGGCTTCTCCGTGGTGACTCCGTCACCGGCTGATGCGTCTGCCGCCTCCGGCTGCGGCACCGGAGCTGCTGCATCCATCGGCTCCTCGGCCTTGGGAGGCTCATCCGTGGAAGCCGTAGTAGTAGCATCGGGCGGCGGCGGTGCTGCTGCTTCCGCCTCCGCCGCCTCCGCATCAGGAGGAGCGGCGTCGTTGCCAGCGGCGGGTGGCTCCGGCGGGGCGAGCGGCACGTCGACGTAGTACACCTTGAGGCCAATGTCGCCGCGGACCCAGTTGAAGCTGTTGAGGAAGCCCTTCTCTTTCTTGAGCGGGAAGTAGATGAGCGCCTCCTCGCCCCTGCGCACGAACTGGCGCGCGTCGAGGCGGACGCGGCCGAGGAAGTTGCTCCGGCGGGTAGGCCCGACGCGGAGGTCGTGCAGCACGGCGACCTCGAGCGGCTCCCCCTCGACCGGGTCGACGCCGGCGGGCGGGAAGTCGAACTCGAGCGCCTCGTTCCACGCCGGGTTGAGGTCCCTGGCCACGGTGCGCGTCTTGCGGCGCTGCCCGTCGAAGTCGGTGCGCGCGTAGGGGCTGGACGTGCCGCTGCCGTCCTTGGGCACCAGGTTCCGCGCCTCCACCACCTCCACTATCAGCTTCCTCGCCGTCGCCGTCGCCGCCATCACGATTATTCACGACCGATCGGCACCAATCGCGGCGAGACACCTTGGAGCTTCAGCCTTCAGCTGCATATGGAGCTATGGCGATTAGCGAGATGGGTCAGTGTGAGCGTGGGTGTATAGTGTAGAAGGCACAAGTTATATGAACGTGAAAGTGGGTATTTTATTATAAATAAAGAATATATATTTGCTTGATTTAGAGAGAGAATTTCTCTCTTTTTTAAACGAATTGTGAGAGAATTTCATGGCACGCGGACACACGGTTTATAAAAATTGGAAATGATTAAGAGGGGGAATAGTAGCTGATGCCAATTCCTTGCTTCATCTTGATGTGAAGGAAAAAAGAAATAAAGGTCGTGGATGAACGGCTTAGAGTGTAGGGTGTCCAGTAAAAAAGACCTAGAGGTGCTTACCTTCATGTGCAAGGAGCTGATGATATGTTTTTATATTGTAATTGTAATACAGCATGTTAATTATTCATGCTACAACAACGACAAAGATTAGATGCGTGTAATTATTCTCAAACGTGTTCTTTCAGGTAACAAAACGTGTATAATAGTGTCTTGTGTGTCCAATCTCACTACCAATATGTTTTAGTTCCATCGCACAAGAATAAGGATTACCAATATATCCTCATTAAATGACTTGTCACGTGGGTAAAAGTTCCATCGCAGCGTAATTAATGAAAGAGAGAGCAAAAATTATAGAAATGATTAGTCCAATCTTAGGAAACCATGAAACATTGAGGAGAAAAAACAAGGACTAGTTTCAGTAAAGGAGAAGTAGTTCATTATAAACTACTAGCTTTTTATTGGGACCGCCCTTAGGAACAAAACAAGGACTAGTTTCAATAAAGGAGAAGTTGTTCATTTGGCCACCCTATTATTGCCCGATTTTGATTTTAGGCACACAACTCGAAAGTTAGGAATTTTTTAACAATGAAAGTTCAAATGCCTGAGAAATTTGACCATATAGCTAGTTTTCAAACATGGTTCTTTTGTATTTCCTAAAAACAATATAAAATATTTTACTCTGTAAAACTCATTGCAAATTCATTTGAAATAAAAATGAAATTAGTACCTATCTTTTTTCTAAAAATGAATAATATATGTATTGTTGCTAGATTTGTTTGAGTTATTTGGAGTTTATTTGTAGTTGTTCCTAGTATTTTATTGCTCATAGTAGTGCCCACTATGTATTTAGATTATCGTTTTGTGCTCTATCACACCCGGAGATTGACAAAGAGAATTCATACTCTAAACAGTGTACCAAATATGTTGAAGTAAAATTATCAAAATTAATTTTCAGAGGGTTAGCAATACCATACTAGTTGCAATGATAAAAAGAATCTAGCTATTACTGTAATGTGACGGAGCATGATACCATTAAGAGGTTGGTGTCATCTTCGAGAGAAAAATACTATTCGTTGGCTGAAAAAGTAGGAGACGTATATACTGTAATGTGACGGAGCATGATACCATTAAGAGGTTGGTGTCATCTTCCGGTCTCCACACCATATGTGTATGTATACTACTAGTACGATGGATTAACTTGGTCAATTCCGGATATAATAGCGCAAAATAGTAATTTGAATAAGTAACGAATATGAATGGTAGCAATAAAAATAAATAAAATACAAATAACTTTAAATAAAGCACCGACATATTTCTGACAAAATAGTCACCCAAAATGTAAATCCTCTGTGAAAAACTAAAAATTATTACTGACCCAGGGAGGGCTATAGACTAAAACGATCTCTTTCGAACGTAGAAATATCACGGAAATTGTATGATCTTTGTAGAAATAACATAGGAACATGAAAAAAAATCAGCGCATATGCATGAACACAAAGAGGACCTAAATGTGCTGAACCGCTGAGGATGTTCACTACTGTTTCTCAGAATGCATGAACACAAAACCTTAAGACTAGAAACGACATCCATCCCCCACACGGGATCTGGTGGAATCTACCTAGCAAAATACTTTGACACCTTTCGGCCATGGACACGCCTCCTGCCTTAAAGCTAGCTTATGGTGGACAGCTCAGTAGCTCACTCAACCAGCTAGGATTCCATCATGCATGTCCCCTCTTGGCTTGGGTGTGTGATGTGTGAAACGAATGAGGCTCTACAAACAGTAGATCAGTGGAGAGCCTCCGTGTTCAGCGGTGAGACTAGCTAGAAAATGGCAGAAATCGAGTCACAAAAGCGAAAAAGGGCAGCAAAAAGTTGGGGCACATCCCCACCGGCCATCTCCTTTCCATGTCCCCATCCGGCGGCGCATGGAGATGCATAGGCACCTGCTCCTCACGTGACCAGCGATCCATCTGACCGCAGCCTAGTTTGCAGAGATTTTAACAGGAACCAGTTTCATTCATGTACGACTTACCCCTCTTCTTTTTTAATAAGACACAAATTAACACATGATATGGTCTCCCAAAATAAGTTTTGACTATCTATTTATTTTGTACGCCATCCGTTCCAAATTATAATTCACTTGACTTTTTTGCCCTCAACTTTGATCACTCGTCTTATTCAAAAAATTATATAAACATAGTCAAATTTAAGTCATTCTTAAAAAAAACTTTTGTTAATAAAGCAAGCTATAGAAAAAATGATATTTTTTACAAATTTTTAAATAAGACGAGTAGTTAAACTTAGGGTTAAAAAAAACAAACGAACTATAATTTGGAACGGATTTAGTATTACATTGCTTATGCTTATAACCTCGTGATAATTAGATAGTACATTTAATTATAAATCTGACCATATTAAGTTTGTGCTATAATAAGTTAAAAATATTAGCCAAACTATTGGTTAAACATTTTAAAGTTTAAATCTTGATATGTGCATGTGTACGCGCCTTCTAAAAGTGAACGGAGTAAGTATTTCTCTAGGGGCCTTCATCTCGAAGTCTCTCGGGACAATTGACCGGACGTAGACGATAATTCTTTATGAGATATTTATGCTTGATGTTTGAAACAGGCACTACTACGTAAAATATTTGTATAGAGACGGCTGACCCAACCACCTTCGTCAAGGGACTGATTGTTAGAATCGAGAAGACTGATTAGAAATGAGGTGAATAGTCATTTCTAAAACTAAAAGTGAATTCTAGCCAAAATAAAAAGCAGAAATAAACTAACGGCTGGAAATAAACACAAAATCAACGCTCCTCAGGGCTCCTGGCAGATCTACCCCCAAGTTAAAGAATGAAGCAACATCCATCCCCACACAGGATATGGAATCTAGCAGGCAAAATACTTTGCCACCTTTTGGACATGGGTCTTCCATTAAAGTTAGCTTAGCTAGGATTGATGAGGGATGAAGACGAAAGAGCTGAATCGATCAGGATTCCATGTCCCCTTGGGCATGTTACATGTATATGTGTGTGAAAGTGAAACGATTACGATAAGGCTCTACGTAGAACACAGGAGCACTGAGATCCTCCCTCCGTTTCAAATTGTAAGTCATTCCAAGAATCTTGGAGAGTCAAAGTTTTTCAAGTTTGACTAAATTTATATAACAAAATAATAATATTTATCATACCAAGTAAGTATCATTATATTCTTCATTAGTTATATTTTTATATTATATCTATTTGATGTCATTAATTGTTTCTCTCTATAATTTTAGTCAAACTTAAAAAAGTTTGACTCTCCAAGATTTTTGGAATGACTTACAATTTGGGATGGAGGGAGTAGATTACAACGAAATATGGCAGAAAGCGTCGTGAGTCACAAAAGCGAGAAAGGACCGCAAAATTGGAGGATGTACATCCCGCCGACCATCTCCTTTCCTTGTCCCCATCCGGCCGTCCGATCCATGGAGATGGACATGGACAACTACTCTCGATCCAATCCTCACATGACCAGTGACTGATTCAATTATTCAGCGTTTTCAGCATGTTACTACTATCTCATACTCATACTTGAAACAAGCTAGGGGAATTATGGAATTGTCACTTTATGGTAGAACGATTGGATTAGTAAGTTTAAAATTCTTGTACAAGTCGATATGTATTCCCTCTGGTTTTCAACAATCAATGTTAATATGGTTTAAAATATAAACTAACCATAACCAACGTCAGTTACTTCGTCCGTTCAATTTATAGGTCGTTTTGGTTCTAGATAGACAACTTTTATAATGTATCTAAACATATTGTATATTTAGGTGCATAATAAAAACTAGGTATCTCGAAAAGCCAAAACGATCTATAATTTAGGATTGAGGGTGGTACTAAAAACTGGAGACGTTATAATTTTATTTTGTCTACGGTTTCAATTCAAGCTATATATCACTTCATTGTCATGTCTCGGTGTACCTGGTCTCGGGACAATTGATCCAACGAGATATTCGCGCACGTGTGGCCTTGGATATAAGGAAATTTAAGCTATATATATGAATAGTTGTGCCCGTATAGGCAGTATAAGCTTAGACACCATGAATTTATTTCAAGTATGATATGCAAAAGTTCTAATAGAATATCCAACATGCATAGAGCCATAGAGAACGGCTAATAGCATGGTTAATAACAGCTCTGGTTAATAATGCATCTAGCTGCTGGTTGTATACTATTGTCATAACATCTACAACCTTCTAATAGCCCACTCATATAATACTTGGCTATTGATACATACTACATCATTAATATATGGAACACCTTATTATCTCATAGAGTTTCTTGAAGCTCGTATATAAGCCGGCTGCAAGTTCACAACTCTTTTCTCTTCTCTCTCCCCTTTCCTCTCTCCTCCACCCCAACCCAAATCTGATATGGCACCTCTACAGCCTGTTTATACATCATCTTATTACACTCGCTCTAAGAGAAAAAAGTTTAGCAAGAGTATAAGTATAATAAATTGTAACTCATACATATCATCAGTATGCATGCAAGGTTATGGGAGCAAATGATAACAAGACCCCGTAGATCTTCACACTTTTACGGCCATAGCCTATAGGCTTTTGACTATTGATTAGTGAACAAAGCTACAAACTAAAGTA